AGCTATCTCCCAGCCCCATTTTTTTCTTTTCTCACATGTTCAGTACTTTATTTTTTACTGGCATTTTGAATCATACATTGTGGATTATCCAAATTGTTATCTTTTTCTAAAAGATGTTAGGTTTTTAAAAAAAAATTTTTAAAAGATGCTAGGTTTTATTCACCAGTAAATTTACTGCTGACTTACTACCTGGATGTTTGCTAAGACCTGGCTTTGGGTTTTGTTCAGCTCTGCCTTTTCTTTTACAGTGCGCATGTTCACTGACACCTGTCCATGAGAGCTGGGCAGTGATTCCCCAGTGTGCGAGTCCTTGAGCTCTGCTGGGTTCTCTGGAAGCCTTGAGGTCTCTCAAGCCTGTCCCTGTGCATCATGTGCAGCTTCAGGAGTGGATCACAGACCTAAGGGGAATTCGGCCTTGCACTGTGACTCCTTCCTCTCTAGCATGTGCTGGAACAAGGGGACGTGCACAGTGACATGTGATAGTGTTAGACCTACAAATGGAGGTGTCAGGAGATGGGATATGCTAGAAAATGTGCAAAAATCTAAGATCAGCATAGCAATTTTTCAAAATAATTATAGATTTCATATGCTTTCACTCCCCTCAACTAGTATCAAAATTAAATAATGTTCAATTATAGCTTAATTTCAAGTGAGCTAAAAGTTTTCCTTGTCCTAGAAGTAGGCAAGTTATCTACTTACTAGCAGAACTGGGAATTAAACTCAGGCCCCTTGCGCTTGCCAGGCAAACACTTATTCTACTGAGCCATCTCCTCGGCCTGGGATTGAACCCCTGGCCCCTGTGCCTGCTTTAATCCGCTGAGCTATCTGGCTGGCTCTTCCTATTTTAAGAGGGAAATATCCCCCCCCCCCAGTAATTACATAAATTTCTTCTCAAAGAGTTCACTGGGGAAAATAGGCTAAATATGTATTTACAAAAATACATCAGTCACACTTACTGTACGGAGGTGGGGGGCAGGATTATTTAAGACATATTTCTGATCTGAGAGAAGAGAACAAATAAAACATCTATTTAGAGAAAGTCCTCAGGGAGAAGCAGAGAGGAAGACCCATACATCTCCTGCACCTGCCCCACCTTAAGGACAAGGCTCTTTCTTACTCAGTGATTTCTAGCCAATACCAAATAAGGAATAGCCTGGACAGAGAAGAAACAAAGCTCCACCACATGGTGCTGCTCCTAGCTCACCTTTAGCCGGTGACGGCAACCAAGAGTTAATGAAATTGAGGCTTACCTGGGTAGGGCACTCTCCCCTTGGTTACAAGTTCTGTCTGTAGGATTCCAAATGACCATACATCAGACTTTATTGTAAATCGACCATAAAGT